ATATATATATATCTATATATATAGATCTATATATATAGATATATATATATATATAAACTATTAATTTTTTATAAGCCTAACTAAACCCATACTATTGTCATTTATTACTCTCTGGGATTACTATTGTAATGTGAACTCAGTTAAAACAACTTCTGTCTCACATTTACAGAGTTCTATATGCTTTTGAATTGTTGTACTCTAAGACAGTAGATTGTATTAGCACTGGTAACTTTATTCTCTTATTTAAATTTGTTTTGTATTGTTGTGCATAAGTTGCAGTTTGATTATTAAAGACCAAACGTGTTCAAAAAAGTAAATCATGGACTATGTATATTAACATATATAATGTTCTGTATGACACTAATCTTTTTTTGCATCACACCTCCATTTCTCTTAAATGTTGGGTTGTCAAACCTCATTCCTCATTATAAATTATTCGTTTATCTATTTATCTGAAGTATCCTCCAAACTAAGTGATTACATCTGAGTTGTGAGCTCCAGTATTATGTTGTCACTGCCACCACCGCTAAACACAACTCTGGTATTTTATTACATAATTAAATTATTATTTTTTTACCCCTGAGCTTTTAATGATAACACAATGTGCAACTTTAATCATTTTTATACCAAGAACTGGGTTATTTGGAGCAAATTTTCTCTAATTAGCTCTGATATAATAACAGCACGAGACATTCTTTTAGCACCTACTCATCATTACTACATCATTACTCTTGCAATTAGTTTCTATATTTACTGCTTCTGGGGGTTTCTTTTAAAGGAAATAAAAATTACTTGTTTGACAAAATTTAATGGACTGACCAATACTAAGAACAATGGAAAAATGCCCAAGAACTAAATGAAGTTCTAACAAGGATAGCTGATAATTTGCACTTTTTGAAAGCTCTTTTACTCTATTACTAAATATCTGCAAAAATTCATGATTATCTTGTTATACAATTGTGTTTCGTGTAGTGTTATTCGGCTTTCGCTTCTTTGCAAACGAATGGAGGCTGACACAAACTGTCACCAGTAGGTGAAACGATGTTAGTTTGGATTATCAGGAACAAAAAAAAATGGAAACACCAGTGTACTGTCCATAATAAAAGGTGTTTTTGTCATAGAATCAGAAGAAATCAAATAAGAAAGAGGCTGTTGTTTAAAACTGGACATGTTTATGTTCAACTGAAATTTGCCACATCAGCAAGAATAATCCATTCTAAGAAAAACACGGTCTGAAAAGAAGCTGATTGAGCTGTTTAAACCCCAGTGACAAATAGACAATGTAAGTGGGAGGGGAGACGTGGCTTTCAAAAGGCCTCTGTACCAGTTATCCACTTTGGTGGCGGAAGTTGAAATGTAAACAACTTAATCTCACACTAGAAACATTTTGCTTTCTGGGCTGACTCAAATTAGGCTAACATTACGCTTCAAGGCTATGTTAAAGAATTGAATGCAGCGCACTCAAAATTCAAGGATTTATCCCAAAGCTACATCTATGCTCTTAATCTAACCAGTCCAGATTAAACCAGCCATTCTTTCTATTTCAAAAATTCAGCCACATTCAGACACGAAGCATTTCAACCAACAGGACATGTTGCTGAGTAATAAATAGTTTATGTATGATTTGCTCTCTAAACATAATAAATTAAGGCTTGGACACAAATTTTCTATTTGTTTTTAATGATTAAAATTAGATGCACTATAATAACTCCCATCTGGAAAGATTATTAAGTGAATCTTTGTAGTCTCTGTAACTCTCGGACCAGAACTATCCGTTCTAGAGAGTTACTGGGAAACCTAAAAGAACAGTTGATGCATTTAGCTAACTTTCTCTCTTCAAAATATATTTCATACTATGTTTTATGCAAATTAGGTAAAATACTTTTAAACAGTATATGTTCTTAATATCGTAAGATATTACAAATGGACCCCCCCACTCAGTGAGGTCTAGAAACACTAGATCTATATTCAGCCATTCAGCAAAGATACGGCTACACATCTGTACATCTTATTTTGGCATTTGACCAAATAGATGAGCCCTTTAATGATATATTACCTACTGTCATTTAAGCAAAAAAAAAAGTAAACAATTCAAGAAAAAAAAAAGTAAAAAGTTAATTAAAAATTCAAGAAAAAAAAAGGTAAAAACCTAATTGAAAAGTTCAAAAGTAAGGCAAAAAAGTTAATAAGCGTAGTTAACATTCATATTTAGGTTTATAAACTAAAAAATGTCAGTACCAGTATCAAGACCAAAAAAAAAAAAGTGTTTTTTTCACTCTTTTTCATAAATTTCTAATAGAAGCATTTTTTTTCTTAATATATTCAGGCAAGTTGGCGTTTGCTGTCATTACATTGACATTAATTTTGACCATGAAAATATCCATAGGTCATAAGGCCTTGTCTTGGATTCCAATAACACTATTATATATAATATATGACATATAATATATTATATAATAAATAACCAAGGCAGACACAAATATCCAATTCAGCCCAATTTCTTTTACTTACAATATACCATTAAGATATATATATATATCTATATATAGATATATATATAT